ACATCTACAGGGGTCAGCCCTTAGAGCCTGTGATCCACGGGCACAGGAGGGGCAGACTTTAAGGAGCTGATCAGCGATGGAAGTGGGAACATAAAGCAACCTTCCCAATTCCTAAAATGGGAAGAGCTCCACTGGTATCACTTGGATTGGTCACATCCGTTCAGGGATGAAAATGTGGTCCTTCATAGTCTTTTCTCAGTTTAACTCTGCTGGTGTTACTGGCATTACAGCCCCATGAAATAAAAGCCATTTATATTTCAAACATCGTTTCGCTTCGATTTGCTTCAAGCAAGTTTACAGAAGATAAAATACAAACAGCTTTTCTTCAACAAAATTGTCACTGTTTTTAACACCGGTGGAATTCAATTTGTGGCATCAGTATCAGGAACATTTGTCAAAACACATCACTGAGAGCAATATGGCTTGTTTCCAGTGTCATGTTTTCTGCAGCAGAAACACACACACCCCACGCACCCCCAATTAAAAGTATGACTCAAGGCTATGCATTTCCATTATTGAAAAATGAAATAATTTTTTTTATTAAGCCAAGCAAGAAAAACTTCCCAACAATTTGAGCAGACACAAAGTAGTACCAAGTTTCTTATTGCTCCCACCTCTTTTATTAAGAGCTATTATCAGTAATAATTCACTTGTTCAGACAAGGGCTCCTTCATCCCTTCTTCAAACCATGCATTGTTCAGCTTCCTGAACTCATTCCCATGGCTTCCATTCCTCTTTACCTTGAAATCTTGCTGCTACTCTGCTTCTAATGTTTCTAAAGGACTCATACAGAAAAATGGTATTACTGCTTCTTTTGCAAGTTCTCTGCCTCTTGAGAACATACTCAGGGGAGCACAAAGTACTTTTTACTTCCAGAAAGATTTAGGAATACTGTACCAAGGTAAAAGCCCATCAAACCTAATATCAGTAAGGCTAAATTTTCAGGAGACATCATCTGTTATTTCACGCAGCAAACAAACTAAGGTTCTTTTTCAAATGGCTAGTAAACTATTCTATTCTGGCAACGTTATTAATTATGACCTCTCCCAAAGGAAGTTTTGTAATACTTTACCAACTGAGATAGATTACAAGATAATTTAGCAGATGACAAAAAGATTTGCAGAATCTTTAGAAGCAAGATTCACAAGATCTTTTTGCTACAAACAAAGAAAGGTCTTTCACAAAAATCCTGTACGAGTCGGTTATGCAACTGTAGACTTTCAGGTTCACTAACCCTAAAATGTAAAAATTCATTATGATATTAAAGACTACAGCCAAGAGAAAGCTGCATCATGTAGCATGAACAAACACTGAATTCTCTTCTATCCAAAACCACTAATTATTCAAAATACATTTTGCTGATTAGGTCATAAAGATTAAAAGAAAACACATGTCATTATATGACAATTGTTAAGCATGAAAAAAAAAAGCTTGAGCAACGTTGTAATTTTGGAGAAGCATGAATGGTTTGAGGCTAACCCCCTGTGTAGAGAAGAAAGGTATTATTTAAAGTTTAGGTAAACCTCAATTAACACATAACAAGTACATTCTTGAAGCATTGTGCATTGATACTGTCTCCCAGAAAAAAAAAAAAAAGAGAAAGAAAAAACTAGTAAGTACAGAAAATTATAGTCTTCCATCATGATGTAGCTGAAATGCAGTTATATGCACCTTTCATGTTCATCTCTTATGTGAAAAATTGCCTTTGGAATACAGTCATCTAGTAACTACTCATATAATACCTTCCACACAAATCTAGCAAACCATAGCTGTTTCAAAGATGTATCTTTGTATTACACACTCTGCATATCCATTGGACAAGCAGAGTGTTTGCTTCTTCAGAATCAAGTTAATTTTTTTAATGTTTTATGGATTTTAAAACAAAAATCAAGTTATTTATGAAGTGGCATAATTCAAAATCTATGCTAAATTGTTTGACAATACTTTTGAATACTATTTGGTGGATTCTATTGCAAAAGCACAGCAAACATGATAGTCCAGCAAGAGCTGTCTGTGCCTGTTTTTAATTATGGTTTTGATGGCAGCACTGGCCTGGTTACTCAGCAGTTTGGAAAGGGTCTGGAGTTACAATTTTCAATCACAACTGAATCCAAGTTTGCCATTTAGAACTTGATCCAACTTTTAAGTGGGTAACATTACAGTTTACAGGAATATAATTATTATATATTGCATGGCACTGGTAGAAAATAATATGGTTCCAAAGCACTACATAGAAAACATTAAAGGCATACAGACATACCTGTCTGAAGAAGTAATGCATCATAATACATAAATCCTGTACAGTGTCTTATGTACCATAGTTAGCCAATATGTACAAGGAAATAATTTGCTATATACCTTACATTTTTACAGCTGCAGAAGCACTAAGGAATTCCTACGTGGGGTTTTATCTCTACAGAACCAGTCAAAACCAAGTGCTGATTAACTTAATGACAAGATTAAGAGCTATTTCTTCCCTTTACGTGTAAATTCACTGGTGCTGGTATTAGCTTTGGTAAGAAGCTGCTTCAGACTGTTTCAATATCAAAGTTATTTTTCATTAAGATTTCATCAAAAAAAGCTCCTACTAATGAAACTGCAAGAATTTTCATACTACAATCCAGCAATTCTTGTATTCCTGTGTTGGGGGAAAAAAGTACTTACTTTTTATCTGGTTTTGTTAGAAGGTCTGTACTGGACATCTTCTTAGGTGCACTATTATAACAAAAGTTCAAAATGAAGAATTTTGACACATGAAGCACTGGTTCGTAACCAAGATAGTAATTGCTGTAAAAAAGGAGAAAGCCCTTTTTGAAATTTACAGGGCTACGTTTATTTTCAGTCACTGATAACAATTTTTACTTATTACTGACTGGCTGAAATCAAGTGGGAAAAGAGACTTTTCATGATAAAACAAATACAATTCATTGCTGAAAACAGTAAGCAGTTAACACTCAGACTTTGCTGTATATTGTACCAAAACATCTGACATCCTAATTTCCTCATGATTTATGAGGTAGGACCCCCTGTGACTAAAATCTTCTAAAAAATGAAGTGAGGTTACTATTCCAGGATAAAGTAATATAACTGCTAAAGACAAAAACAATCTCATTTTTGTTTCTGCAAAGGTTACTCGGGGAGGAAATGTTGCTTTGAACATGATAAGGTGTTTTGAGTGTCTTGTTTTCTCACGTTTTTTAACTTACTGTTTAGTGTTCAGTGCCTACGGAAATCTTACCTGAAGTATGTAATACACTGGCCAAAATACAGACAAAATGTGGTAATGTACCACTAATACAGCAAAAAAACCCAGTCATTCACACTGTATTTTTTATTAGCGCATATAGCAGGTCAACAACGAATACAGTCCTAAATGTAGTGAGCTATAACCATTTAAAAAATTACCACAAAAGCAGAACTGTCTGTTTGTATCAGCAGCAAACCCTCCTGACCTCACAAGCCACACAACTAAACCCTCACACGGCCGCGAACCCAGAGAAGATGTTACTCCTAAGACATGGTACAAGGGGAAGGAACTCTCTGAACAACGCACAGGCAAAGGTGGCCACAGGTGCTAGTGGTACCAGTGACACCACACACCTGGGCTAAAATGAAATAGGGTCCCCAGGTGCGGGGGCAGCTTCCACTAAATCACACTGACCTATTCTTACAGGTGTATTTCTGTATTTCTGCACCAAAAAAAAAAAAAAAAAAGTTAAATTTACTTTAGAATACCACAGATTTTCCTGTGGTGAACGTTTTCAGGTCTCTTGCTAAAGGATCAAAAATAAGGCCATCTAAACACATGGAAAATATCACAATATTGCTTCACTCTGGGCTTTATCGTTCTCTTACTCAACGTACCGGGAGCTGCCCGAGTCCCGGTGTGATTCCCGTTCCTGGAGCCAGCAGGAGAGCACAGCAGCGCTCTGAAGGAATACACCCAAGCCCCGCTTCAGCAAAGTTTGTCACGGCGCGTGGGGCCGGTCCTGAGGAGAAAGATGGCACCTGTGGGTTCGCCTGACCCTGCCTGTCCTCAAGTTACCGCTCTTTACGCAGGGGATGCTCGGTCACCCCGCAGCACGCCAGTATTTCTGCCTAAACAAAACCAAAGCAGTGCACAAAAAGAGGAAACTAAACGTGAAACAAAGCACCACCAGAAAAAGCAGTGATCGGTATCCACAGCGGGCAGGAGAGGGAGCGCTGCGGGCAGACAAAGGGATAGAGTCTCCTCCTCTCCGTTGAACACCCTCGCACCGGTGTCCGGCCACACCGCCAGGAGACGAGGGACGCGGGCACAAAGGCCGCTTTCCCGGCGCCCTCACGGCCCCAAAGGCACCAGCCAGGAAGGTGCTGGCGCCCACCCCCGTCCCGCTCCTCCCCGGCATTAGCGCCGCTGAGGTACTTAGCGGGGATAATCGCCGCCTCCCGCCGCGCTTAACCCACTCCTGGCGGACTTTTCGGCGGCCGCCCAGCGCCGGCCCGCCCCGGAGAGGTGCCCGGGAGAGCCCGGGGCTGCGACAGTTACCTCGATACGCACACTGCCGCCCGAGGGAGGGAGAGAGAGACAACCGGCGGGGCCTGGCGGGCACCCCCCGCGCCTCAGCGCCGCTCTGAGGGCTGGGCGACCCCTCAGCGGCAGCGCTCCCCTCCCCTCAGCGGCGCGGCGCGGCCCGCCCCGCTCCCCAACCCCACCGCCTCC